CCTTATGAGCACAATTTAGTGTTCTGGCTGGAATACCCATTCTCCACAGTGTTATCCATGTTTGTTATAACCCACACAGTTAAATGCCTCTGCATAGTAAATAAAGTACAAGTAAACATCTTTCAAGTAATCTCTGCCTATCTGACATTAGCAACGTCTTTTTCTGGTTCTGGCTTAATTTCTCGTGGCTCCCTATTGCTGTCCTGCTGCAATTGTTTTTTAATTATCTTCAGCAAAGTGTTATATGTGATAGTAATGATTTTGTTTGATGATTTCCACATTCTGCTGGGTCACCTTTCTTTGGAATGGTCACAAATGTGAATCTCTTCCAATTGGTTGGCCAGGTAGCTGTCTTCCAAATTTCTCGGCTAGACGAGTGAACACCTCCATCATTACATCAGTTTGTTCAAACATTTCATTTTGTATTCTGTCCATTCCTGGAGCCTTCTTTTCACCAATGCCTTCAGTACAGCTTGGACTTCGTCCTTCAATACCATCAGTTATTGACTTGAAATGATTGAACATTGACCAATTCTTTTTGGTACAGTGACTGTGTATTCCTTCTTTTGGTGCTTCCTGAATCATTCAGTAATTTATCCTTGTTGTTGTTGTTAAGTTCAATCAAGTCAGTTCCAACTTATAATGACCCTGTATAGGGTTTCCATTGAGCAGCTGGTGAATTTGATCCACCAACTTTGTGGTTCAAATTGACCTTGCAGTCCAGTGCTCTATCCTACAGCATCATGCCAAGACTCCGAATATGTCCATAGAATCCTTCAATATTGAGTCGAGGCTTGAAATTTTTTCTTTAGTTCTTTCAGCTTGAAAAATGCTGACTATGTTCTTCTCTTTTGGTTTTCTAACTCCCCATTTCATTATACTTGACATTATCTTCTTGGGCTGCCCTTTGAAGTTTTCTGTTTAGCTCTTTCACTTCATTACTTCAGCTTGTATATGCTCAAGAGTAAGTTTCACAGTCTCTTCCGATATCCATTTTGGTCTTTTCTTTCTTTGCTGTCTTTTGAATGACCTTTTGCTTTTTTCCTGTAGGGTGTTCGTTCTTGAGGTCATCCCACAAATCTTGTTATTCAATCATTAGTGTCTAAGGCATCAAATCTGCTCTTGAGACCATATCTAAATTCAGGAGGGTTATGTTCAAGGTCACATTTTGGTCTCTTGTGAACTTAGGTTGATTTTATTCAACTTCAGCCTGAACATGCAATATGAGCAACTGATGGTATGTTCCACAGTCTGCCACTGGCCTTGTTTTAGCTGATGGTATTGAACTTCTTCATCATCTCTTCCCATAGATGTAGTCAATTTAATTTCTGTGTATTCCATCTGGTGAGGTCCACGTGTGTAGTAACCTGTTATGGTGTTGAAAAAATGTATTTGCACTGAAGAAGTCATTGGTCTTACAAAATTATATCGTGTGACCTCCAGCATCATTTCTATCACCAAGGCCATATTTTCCAACTACTAATCCTTCCTTGCTCTTTGTTTCCAACCTTTGGATTCCATTCACCAGTAATTGTCAATACATCTTGATTGCATGTTTGATCAATTTCAGACTGAAGAAGTTGGTAGAATTCTTAATTTTCATCTTCAGTGACTACTGGTTGGTGCATAAATTTGAATAATAGTGATCTTCCTTGTAGGCGGATGGATATTATCCTATCAAAGACAGTGTTGTACTTCACAACAGATCTTGAACCCCTTTGACCTAGTTCCGATAGCTTGATGATCAGAACTCGACCTGTTCTTCTTCTTCTTCTTAAGTACCATGGAGTCGGTTCCAACTCATAGTGACCCTGCACAGGGTTTCCAAGGCTGCGCAAATCTTTACGGGAGCAGAAAGCCTCATCTTTCTCCTGCAGAACAGCTGCTGGTTTCAAACTGCTGACCTTGAGGTTAGCAGCCCAATTTTGTTGTTGTTGTTAAGTGCCATCAAGTTGGTTCTGACCCATAGCGATCCTGAACAGGGTTTCTGAGGCTGTAAATCTTTATGAGAGCAGAAAGCCTCATTTTTCTCCTGCAGAGCAGTTGGTAGTTTCCAACCACTGACCTTGCAGTTTGCAGCCCGAATCGTATCCACTACACTACCAGAGCTCCTTTAGAGGAAGATTTAAAAAAAAATAATAATAAATTGATCAAGGAAACAAACGTAAATTACTACAATTTGATGACATTGACATATACTTAGGGATGTAAGTACCTCAAAATACCAACCGAGAGGAAAGGAGTCTTCACATCAAAGAGCAATCCTATCCCCAGGATTGAAAGGGACAGGCAACTTAGACATTGTCTACCTACAGTGGGGAGGCTATAAAGGCACGAAGTGATTGCCTTACAAGTTTTCAGGAAGGAGTTTAGTTTCAGAGTGTACAAGGGAAAGTAGAGTCCCTACTGAATAGTTTTCATCTTGTCTAGACAGGTCTGGTGAAAGGAGTTGGGGGTTACGATTCTTATGATACAGTCATGAGTATGAATCGTAACTGTCACAACTGTAAAGATAGAAGTTTTGTAACAAAAAGCGGGGAGTAGTTAATCTTACAGTCCAGGAATAGAGGACCCTAGAACCATCAAGGGAGAAGAGCACAAGAATGTGGGACCAGCGGGATATGGGACCCTATCCAGTGACGCAGCGACACCAGAGATGGGGACATGGAGAGAGGGAGCATCTTAGGACTCTAGAGTCATGCAAAGAGAAATGCTGGGTGCTGGTGGCCAGGAGGCAGGCTTGCAGAATGCTCCCTTTGGTTGTTTAAATGATTATGTATTCCTGAGTGCTTTTGTGTACATAAAAAAAAAAATAAATAAATACTGTTGAATGATGATGCACAGAGGGGATTATAAGTCATTGCAATGAAATGAAATACCATAGCGTGAGTATAAAACCAATGTTCTCCCATGTAACCTATCACTCAATTTGCAATAAAAACCTTAAAAAAAAAATCTTGAAATGTTCCATATTATCAAGAAGTATTTATTTATTCTCACTGAGGGGGCGGGGGTGTCCTTTGTTTTTTTCTTTTTAAGTTGGTAAGAAGGAGCCAAAAAAAGGTTCACTATCAATCTGATCATATCCACCTGATTTCTTGATGATACCCTTTGAGCACGGTGGTTCAAACCCACCAGCTACTCCACAGAAGAAAGATGAGGGTTTCTCCTGTTGCAAAGATTATAGCCTTGGAAATCCTATATAGGGTCACTATAAGTCAGAATAGACCTCACAGCATTTAACAACACAATAACAATAAAAACACAATAATAAAATTTTGTGGAAGAGCAAATTGTCGAGAATATTAACGTTTCATTAACCATACAGTCTTTTGGGATGCAAAGCTCCCTTTCCACTTTGCATTGCAAATCTTTTAAAGCCAGTTATTTATTTGTAATGATCCCTTTCGATTCCATCATATTATGAAAACTTTTAAAGACCTTTCTTGCTATCCCAGGCCCTACCTACCAAGCTTGGTCTGTTGAGACAGACTCTTGACCCAAATTTCTCTCATTGAAATCTCAGAGTGGGTCTCCATGCTCAGCCGTCTGGCTCAGCTGTGGTCTTCCTTTGCCTCCTTCTTTGAGCTATTCTGAAGATCTGGTCACTCTATGTAAGCTTAGTTTGGAGGCTTCTCTCCATGCCCTATCGCTTTGACCCATCTTGACATCTGTTGCCCCTCCAGAACAGTGAGCCCAGAGAGTCTTAATCTTCCATGCATGTCTCTCCTCAAGAGGATCTTCTCTCTAGACTCTCTAGACCCACTGATCTGCTTTAAACAAGCCTTACCCAGAGTTCCTCCATATCATAATGTGTATACTCCTGTTTGTATATCCTTTGCCCAGCTGTCATACTGGAAGCTTATGGTACAGTGCCATAAGGCTCAAGAGTACCTAGCAAGTTGTTGACTTTAAGTTTATATTTGGTGAATAAAACCCACTTCATAACCACCCTAGGGGCAGAGTAGAACTGTTCCGTAAGATTTCTGAGGCTGTAAATCTTTACAGAAGCAGACATCCTCATCTTTGTCTTGCACAGCAACTGGTGGATTTGAACTGCCAACCTTTAGGTTAGCAATACAACACTTAACCTACTGTGCCAGCAAGGTCCTTTTGGTAAGACAGGTAGACTTGGAATGCTTCCAAACACTTGCTGGGGTGGAACTGGAGGGATCGGTTATCTTTACAGGTAGCAGCCTCGCTCATACAGACAGACATTAGTGCCACATGGTAAGGGTGCAAATTTGACTGAGACACAGCTAGTCCCTATTTGTACAAAATGCTGTGAGGAAACATACAACCGGTTGCCATCAAATGAACTCCAACTCACCTGTGTCAGAGTTGAAATGTGTTCCGTTGGGTTTTCAGTGGCTGATTTTTACAAGTAGATCTCCTGACCTTTCTTCTGAGTATCTCTGGATGGATTTAAACCTTTCAGGTAGCAGCCATGCATGATAACCATTTGTACCACCATTTGTCCTAGACCTCATATATGAATAATTTCATCTACTCTTTCTCTTTCGATTTAATACTGTGGTGTAGAATTTCCCCATGCTATTAAGCATACTTTTCATGGTTACATAATATTCCAGTGTGAATATTTCAGAATCTGTTCAGTCAGCTCATATTGTTGGGCCTATAAACTAGGGCCCATGAGTGTTCTGAGGTAACTGAAAGTCAACTCCTTATTAGGTGCCCTCGAGCGTACAAATAATACCACGGAGAATCTCTGAAAATACCTAAGATGTTGAAATGTGTGGGTGAGATCCCGAGAGTCTAAAGAGACAATCCTCTTATTGTGAAAAAGGCTTTGGAGGACCATAACTGAGATTATCATTATCCATGCCCTATGGAAAGTCCAGCAAGGAAGTTGATAGCAGCAAGGAATTTTGGTACCAGTCAAAACTACCCTATAAGGCTGCCACATTGACAGCCTCCCAGGTTGCTGGGAGTTTGTCAGCACTCCCTTCTGATGCTGTATGTGCTCTGGTCCTCTGCAGGCAAAATTCTGTTCCGAAGAAGCCACATCCGGGACGTAGCCGTCAAACGCCTGATACCAATTGATGAGTACTGTAAGGTGAGTCTGAGGAATGCTAACATCTGTCCTATGGATGGTTTATATTGTTTGTTTGGTACGTTTTGTTTTGTTTCCTTTCCGGCTATAACATGCTTATTGTGACAAATTTTAACATGCTTCTTTTAATATGCTCATTGTACAGTTGAAAGAAGCATCCAGAAGTTACAAAAGAAAAATCACCCATGATACTTTAACCCAGAGTCAATATCTATTAAGGTTTTTGCATCTTTCCTTCTGGTCTTTTCTCTGCGTGAATTTCTTTACGATGTTGAGATCTGTGTGCATATATTGTTATTTATTTTTCTTTCACTGTAATACTGGGTCATAAAAATTCCCCATGCTATTAAGAAATCTTCTTGAAACTACTTTTCATGGTTACTTAGTATTTCAGTATGTCTGTGAATGTTACAGAGGTTGTTCAGCTAACTAACTCTCATTGTTGGGCTTGTAAACTAGCTTCTGGGCTCTTGAATGTTGTAAACAATAAGGAACCTGCTTTTTTGGTTATATTTTATTTGATTTGAAACTGTGGTCAGGAAAGAATCTTATTTTTGTTTTAACTTCCCTTATCTGGATGCCTTAAAAACAGGGCAGCACATACTTCCTCCCTAACATCAGGAACAAATCAAATAGGTTTACTCTTGACACTTTTGTTCTATATTTTAGCAGAAGTAGCAACTGGAAGCAGGTATTTAAAAGAAACAAAAGGAACCCAGATTGTAAAACTGCCTTAATGTACAAATGATTTTATATGTAGAAAAAGGATTTATAAAAACACTACTGGAACTAACAAACTTAGCAATATCACAGGATACAAAATTAATATATAAAAATCAATAGTATTTCTATATACTAAAAATGAATAGTCTGAAAATGAAATTGAAGTACTTCTATGTGGTGCTGTAGGATCAAGAACTGGACTTGGAAACTCTATACAGGGTCATTAGAGTCGGAACTGACTTGATAGCACTTAATAACAACAGCAACAACATTCCCAATAAATTCAAAAGGAAAATAATAGTCATAAAGTTAACAGAAGATTGCTGTGAGAGAAATTAACCCACTTACTGACATCAAGTCAATTACAACTGATAGCTACCCTATCAAGGGTTTCCAAGGCTGGAAGTCTTTTGTTGTTGTTGTTAAGTGCTGTTGAGTCATAACGACCCTGTATAGGGTTTCTGAGGAATGGCTGGTGAGTTTGAACCTCCAACCTTGCAATTCAAACCAACTGTGGAGCCCAAACTGCAAAATTTTTGAACTGCAAGGTCGACAGTTCAAGCTCCTCGAAAACCCTATATAGGGTTGCTGTGAGTCGGAACTGACTCAATAGCATTTAACAACAACAAAAGACTTAACAGGAGTCCTGGTTAGGGGAACATAAAGCCTCCTCTTTCTCCCACGGAGGGCCTCGTGAATTTGATTGATAACCTGAGGTTAGCAATACAGTGCTTATTCTTCAGTGCCATCGGAACTCCTTGAGAGAAATTTTAAAAGATCTAAATTCATGGAGAGACATTCCACACTCATGGATTGAAAAACTGAATATTGTTAAAATGACCATTATTGCCAGATTTATAGATTTATTACAATCTCTATCAAAATCCTAGTAGGCTTTTTTTTTTTGTAGAAATTGACCAGCTGAATCCTAGAATGCATATGGGTATGCAGGAGACCCTAGAATAATAATAATGTAGAAAACACAAGTTTTGTAAAACAAAAGAACAATTTGAGACCTTGTTCTATACATTTTCAAAATTTATTACAAAGCTACAGTAACCCAGACAATGCGGTACTGGTATAAGGAGAGGCATATAGTTCAGAGAAACAGAATTGAGAGTCCCAAAATAAACTTAGAAAATTTCTGACCAACTGATATTGAACAAAGATGCCAGGATGATTCGGTGGGAAATGGAGAGTATTTTTAAAAGCCAGCAGTACTGGGATATTTGAATGTTTCTATGCAAAAAAAAATGGCATCCCCTTAATTATAAGACCTTTGTGATCTCAGGTTACAAAACAAAGAGTTCTTACATAGGACACCAAAAGCAGGGCCCATAGAGAAATATTGATAATTGAGACTTTATTAAACATAAGAGAATGAAAAGTATTAAATTTAAAGAGAAAGAAAAGATGAGCCACAAACTGGGAGAAAATATTTGCAAATCCTGTATCTGATAAAGGATTTTGATCCAGAATATATGAAGAAAACATACAACTCAATAATAAAAAGACAGATAATCTAGCTTGAAAATAGACAAAAGACTTGCAGAGTAATTTCATACAAGAAGATGTGTAATGGCCAGTCATGTGAAAATATGCCCAACATTGCTTGTCATAAGGGAAAATACAGAATAAAGACGTAATGAGATACTACTACACAGCCACTAGAATGACTATAATCAAAAAGATAGATAATATCAAGAGTTAATAAGGATGTGGAGAAACTGGAACCCTCATGCTGATACACACATAAAATAAGAAGCCACTTTGGGAAACAATTTGACAGTTTCTTCAAAAGTTAAATTTACCATATGACTACTCTTAGGTATATGTCCAAGAGAAATGAATACTTATGCCCTGGCAAAAACTTGTATATTACTATTCATAGCAGCATTCATTCATAAGAGGCAAAAGCTGGAATCAATCCAGATGCCCATCAATTAGAGAATGGATGAAGAGAACGTGATGGATCCATACAATAGCATATTATCAGCAATGAAAGACAATAAAATACTGATTGATTAAGTGAAAGAAGCCAGATGCCAAAGACGACATACATATTTTTTGGTCTCATGTAGATGAAATGTCCAGAGAAGGCAAATTTGTGAGACAGAAAGCAGATCAACGGTTTCCTGACCTGGGATGGTGGAAGTAGCGATGGACTGCAAATTGGGTTGGAGGAAATTTCTGAGGCGATGGAAAAGTTCCAAAATTAGTGTGATGGTTGCACATGCTATAATTTACTGAAGTTATTGAATTGTGCACTTATACTGGGTAAATTTTATTAGATGTAAATACGTCGATAAAGCTGTAAACATTTTAAATCAGGGGGACAGCTTAAGGATCACCCCTCTCTCAGCAAAAGCTTTAACAGAAGGGCAGAAAATCACAGGACCCCAGGACCACCACTTTACCCCTTTAGCAGCCTTGAGACGTGGTTTTTAATTATCCCCATTTTGCAGATGAAGAAATGGGGAGTCCAACTAGTTTACTTACCCAGGCCCAGCACTCTCGATTTATAGCCTCCCCACAACATTAAAAATTTAAGAGGCAAAAGTATTTAAGCATATATTTCATTCTTTGGTTGTTGTTAAGTGCCATTGAGTCGGTTCCCAGGCTTTAAAACTTCAAAGGAGCAGAAAACCTCATCTTTCTCCCATAGAGTGGCTGATGGGCTCGAACCATGGACCTTGTGGTTCGCAGTCCAGTGCATATTGTATAAAGCCACGCTGCTTCCCATATATTTCATTTAAGTAAATAAACCAATTTTTTCTTCTCCTAACTATACCCTGGAGTCCTGGTGTGGTGCTGTGGGCTAATACGTCAGACGGCAAAGTCGTTTGAACTGCAGTGGTCAGTGGTTCAATGGTCGGTGTCAGTGGTTGGTGGTTCAAGCTCACCAGCTGCTCCTTGGAAACCCTGTACAGGGTCGCTATGGGTAAGAATCAACTCAATGGCACTTAACAACAACAATAACTATACCCTGCTAACCACAAGTAATTCAAATCTACCAGCTGTTCCACGGGAGAAAGATGAAACTTTCTGGTCCCATAAAGATTTTTGCTATTTGTAATTGTTAAGTACTGTGGAGTCGGTTCCGACTCATAGCGAACCCGGCACAGGGTTTCCAAGGCTGTAAATCTTTACGGGAGCAGAACGCCTCATCTTTCTCCCACGGAACCACTGGTAGTTTCAAACTGCTGACCTTAAGGGTAGCAGCCCAATTTGTAACCACTACGCTACCAGAGCTCCTTAAATCATAAAGATTTACAGCCTCGGAAACCCTATACAGGGTGACCATGAGTCGGAACCAACTTGGTGACTCACAAGTACCACCACTAAACAAAGGAGTCCTGGTGTGGCATCATAGGATAAGCACTGGACTGCAAACCAAAAGGTCTACTGTTAAAACCCACCAGACACTCCTTGAAAAACACTCTACAGGGTCGCTATGAGTCGGAACCAATTCTGTGTCACTTAACAACAGTTATACCCTTAAAGGGAGTCCTGGTGTGGTACTATGGGTTAATGCACTGTACTGCAAAGCTCGTTTGAACTGCAGGTTGGCAGTTCAGGCTCACTAGTCACTCCTTGGAAACCCTATACAGGGTTGCTATGGGTCAGAACCAACATGACGGTACTTAACAACAACATCCCTTTAAAAAGGGAGAGTGCCAGCAATTCCACTCCAAGGTGTATACCCCAAAGTCTTAAAACCATAGTATCGTTCACCACTGTTCAGTACAACACAGTTCACATTAGCCAAAAGGTGGAAACCTAAATGTCCACCAGCAGATGAATGAATCCATAAAATGTGGTATATCCATGCAAACAAAGGAGTATTAGTTAGCCATAAAGAAAATGGAAGTTCTGATGCATACTACTACATGGAAAAGCCTTGGAAACACACGAGTGAAATATCTAGAATGGGCGAGTGTAGAGCAAGCAGTGTTTATTACTGCTGACGAGGAGTGGGTGGGCAGGCGGGAGAAATGGGGAATTACTGCTTCCGGAGCACTGAATTTCTTCTAGTGATTGAGTCATTTGGAAAAGGATAGTTGATGATTGTTCAACATGATGAACAACCAGTGTCACCGAGTTGCACATCGTAAAAATGATTGAATTGGCAAACTTTTTGTTATGTGTGTTTCTACCACAATAAAAAAATTTATTACAAAAAAAGAGAGAGGGGGGAGATACGGACGAAGGAGCAGAGATGGCCAATCGGGCACAAAGATGGCTGTGGCCTCCCAGTTCTGAAATGAAAATTCACCTCT